TTGGTGTGCGGCTACTGCATCCAATACATGGCATATTGCCAACGTACTCGCCCATTATCCCTGATGGGTTTCCATGTCTGGCCACATCCGTACGCTCTATTTGTTCATCGGTTATACCTGAGTTCCTTGCAAAGCATATACAAAAGCCAGGGCCGAGACGGACTATTTCATTTGAGTCTCCAACGAAAACCCTGCGTGACACATTGTCGGGGTCCGTTGCGATGCGCTGCTGAGATCTCAATAGATGCCAATCTGAGTAACAATTGCCTCGCTGTCCTCCCGATACCTGCTTGCTAATCCCTTCTCAATCTCCCTGCCAGAAGACAACATTGGTCTGTGGGTTCAGCTTTAATGTAAGGACGTGATTCAATGATGTGCGTTCTCAAATCCGCCCCGTTTTGCGCCTCTCACCGCCGTCTACCTGCAGAGATCAGGAGCAATCCTCGCTCGGAAGTCGCAAGCGTAAGTCCTCTATCATTCCATCAAACAAGGAACATGGCCACAATACATAAGCGCTGTCCTTCAGGACTTTGTCGGCGATCATCCGACGTGCGCCAAATTGGGTGAAATGCACCTAGTGTTGAACAACAATTATGAGCCATAGCCCACTGATGATTGGTGTTTTCTCTGGCTGGCATCGGAAGAATCCGCCGAGTGAACAGACGAAATAGTGCCAAAATCACTTGTTCGTGATCCTTCGCTGAGAGATAAGTCCATTCATTTTGATTGCGATGCTCATTGTCTACTCGAGGCAAAAATGCTCTTGCCCTTGTCCAGACATGCACTATGGACTGCATCACAGGTGTTTCCACATACAGCTTTGGAAGGCCGAAGGCACACAAGTCCTATGGGAATGTAGTTGTTGAGGGATAATTCTCTGCACTCCTTCTCCCAAAAATTTCGATGATTGGCCGTGGTGTACTGACCGTTGTTTGATCTCAGTTTTGCAGCAGCCTTCGATGAAGATCCCATATTCAACAGGCCGCAAGATGGGAATCATGGACCCTTGTAATAAATGATGATGCTTGACAGTTGTAGTAGTCCTTGCTATCGTGCGGATATGAAGGGGCATTTTTTTTCTCCGGTGTGGCTTTGAGGTATTCGGTCACACAGTCTTCACTACAAACGACTGAGACCCAGGTCAGAACTCGAGAAGAGTGATACTTGCGGTGCATTATCCCGATTCTTTTCGACTGCTTGGAACACATATTGACTGTGAACGTGTTACTAGCGCTCAGGATGTAGCGAGGCGTCCGAGTACCAACAAATATCATGGTGAACATATTGGGTGGATAGGGGCAGCAGGCAGCGTGCGTTCGTCACTTCGGTTGACTCCACTGATACTGCATCAGGAGGTCAAGATTGACATGCGGAAGCCTATCTCGCATTGTTTATCGCAGGAGGTAGCATTTCGTTTCCGTTCAATTTAGATTTGCAACGTCCTACGCTGAAACATACTAAGATTCTTCGTCCGCCGGATGAATCCATCAGCGAACAATGCTCGCTTCAAGTAGGCTTTCCGACTTTTGTGTTTCAGCGCTCATCCTCTTCTCTGCGTGTGATGCGCATCATCTTCCAGTGTTCGCTAAGACCCAACTTGTGAGATGGGACGGAGAGAAATCGAGCATCGTCGACCATGTCCATCGCTAGTGGCAATTTATGAATGTCACCTCGTCTTCAAGCTTCCTTGACCGCCAGATGTCCAGCAGGGGCCTCCGTCAATGAGACCTGAAGAAGCTGCATTGGGAAGCCAGCATTTCCTTTTTCAATTGCTTCTGGCCTCCAGGGTCCCCATGTATGGCGAGCTGGTCGGGATGGAGTAATGCCTGCACTTGCTGGGGCATTCTAGACGGACTCCGTAGGTATAGGATCTCGCAGGGTGCGGTCAGTTCAAACCTGTCGTACACTTATCAAGGTTAGTATCGCTCATGGTAATGGGCAGGAGCCATTCAATGCAAAGCTCGAGAACACGTTACAGGAATTTTGACCGTCGATATCCGGCCAAGGTCGCTCAATTGATGCAAGAGAAAGAGATTTTCTCTGTTTACTCCTGGGCGTTGCGGATTGGGACGAATTGGCGCCCCTTTCCTGAAAACATTAGGTAAATGCATTCTACCAAGCACGACTGGCCAGGATCACAGTGTTACACTGGCTGCACGGAATGGAGTCGTAAGTTGCCTGAGGAAGCAAATATCATGTGTCTAGACCCTTTCATGTTTCTTCAATTGACAGTATTTATACTCGCACAGAACCACAGCAGTAGGGCTATCTTTTCTACAGAATGCCCTCAACATCCAGTTTATCAACGCATTTGTTCTTCTCTCCGACGAAATCTATTCGATCTGACATCGGTTCCTGGGCTAGTCTACATACAAGATGGGCTTGATGCGCACTGATCTCGCCTATCGGTTTCCTTCTGTCAGCGAGATGAATCTTACTTTCCCACTGGATGTTGAAAGATTGGCTTCACACCACCAGTCACTTGACAACCAGGCTTAGGAGGATGATCGTCGATCGCGAAAGTTTGCCAGATACGAGAGTGCCACCTGATGAGCGAGCCAAATAAAAAAAAAAAGAAAAAGAAAAGGGTGGAAAAGGGCAGAAAGAATAAGTTGGCCCTTGATTTGCCCATACACACCAGCTTCCCCTCAAATTCCTCTTCTGCTTCTCTGCAGGTCAGATCCTTTGCTACCTTGCAGCAGGTTTTGAAGAAATCATCATGATCAGGCCATCCGAGCATCAAGCAATCAGATTGACAAAGGACAATCTCCAGCAGACTTTCGGATGCAGGTACAATCCTCGATAGGGATTGCGTTATCTCTACAGTCGGAGCTCTCCGAAAGCTCTCGGTCATTCACATTTGCGATAATCTGTCTTGGTCTCGGTGGTGTGATAGCTGATTTTTCGTTTTCAAAGGTCAATTGGACGCATTATTGCGCGATAGCATGTGAGACATGTCTATTTAATAATGCAACCCTTTTATCAGGCTGCGGGGCAGTACATGTCCATGCCAATTGTTGCCACTTGGACAGCACGATGGGAGCGAAGAACGAGGGCTGGCTTGGCGTCTATCGCAAAAATGAGTAACTATTGGCTGGCATTCATCCGTGCAGGGGGCTTGTCGCCTGTCCTCTCAGTTGAAGGCACACTAAGCATGATCCCTGTTCTTCAAGACCGCCGTGTCTTGTCCAACGAAATACCTCACAGAGACCGGTGAGGAGATTGGCACATGTTAGCGGCAGGAACTAGCCCAAAACGCGCCTTTTTCCCTTACGCTCAGACATCTGATGTTTCTTGCGGCTTGTCACCTTCCAAAATAAGCTATGCGCCGAGGCCGAGGTAGAATCCTGCGCTAGAGATTGCTTAACCGAATCTCGACACTAATTAAAGCCTCTTGGCATTGATTGCCTGTACCTTTCCAGCAGGTCGGCCTTTGTGTTTCCACAAATTGAAAGTAAGTTCGGACAGTCCTTTTTCCTAATTAGACAGGAGTTATAGTGTATTGGCTAAAGTGGTCCAGAGTTTTGATTATTCTGTCTGGGAACGGGCTCATAAGTCTGAGAACCTTTCATGCGGGGATGTCGCGAACATCAGCGTATTCCGATTCGCATAGGGTCCACAAGTCAGCTGTTAATGTCCGGGTGCCTGTCGGGTTGGCCAATGGCACAGGATTGACCAATGCGACTTTACGACGTGTTTTTACACTGAACAATCGAACCCCTGTCCTGCGCCACTGATCACTGAATCCTGGAAAGCGAAGGCTGTTCATCAAGTACCTGACCGTGGGCTGCAGCAGGACAAGTGCAGAAGCGAATCAGGATTCGAGGCGAAGCCATGACTCAATGAACAGTGATGTCTCCTCACAGGACCAGTCCGTTCAGAAGCTTCCCATGGCTTACAGCCCGAACACGAAAGGTGCATCAACCTGTACCATATGCACCACTCCTATTGGGACGGATCGAGATTAATCTCCGACCAGGCAGTAACCGGCAAAATAATTACCGTAACTAGCCGTTTTATTCCACCGTCGAAAGCACAGCGTCGACCGCATGGGATAGATAATGGCTATCTTCGCACTGGTTGGTTCGATATAGATACATTTCGGCGACGATCGCGCCTGCTCGCTAGTCACCAGTCATGCTTTGCAATCGCAGATTCGCGGGCGCCCAAGCTGATTTGCATGATCTCCCCTATCCGGTTGGCCACCCTAAATTTAAATGCTTGGTCTCTTTTCAAATCCACAAGAGTGATAGCGAAACAGAAGAGACAAGTGAAGGGAAATTTGATATTAAGGATGATTAGATGGGACCAGAAAGAGGCCCATCGAAATCGCTGCTCCACTGTGGGAAAATTAAGACAAAACCGCCAGATGCAGCATCCAGACCCTCCGCAAGATTAACCATCTTGGATGATCAAGATAAGCAACGTTGTCTATCAACAAATCAAAGTGTCCCGCACAATGTCTTCCAACTAATTGCGTGCTGGCTTTCCTTTTCTCCTTTTCTTTCCATCACTAAATCTAACCCCTCATCGCTCTTGGAAGCGGGAATTTCAGAGAATCCGGCTCTCGTCGGATGCAGGAGGAAAGATGGCGCATGTCAGTCAACCCCTCTTTGACTGCAGCCTGCAACTATCGCTGCCACCTTCTTCTGCCTGTTTCTACTTTTCTAGAAGCCCGCTAGCGGCGCCTCATGGTTGCATCGCGCCCCTGATTAGCTTTTACCCCAGGTTCAAGATAGGTTGGCTGGCCGTGGCGGCGCAGAATACCCAACTTCCAGCGGAGTCTATTTCGTCAACGGCCAGCAAGCTAACATCATTTCATGCCCCTAGCCCACCATGGCCTGTTAAAAAGGCAATTGTCTCGCTCCACATATCCGAGCTATTTATGATTTGCGCTGGATCTTCGTTTTCTAGATTCCCACGCCTGTCTGTTCCCTTTCCACCTATTAGATAGTCATCGTCGTTGGTTGCGGATCCATCAGTACCCATTCTCTGATGCCATGACGCGCACCACTTCTGTTGAAGATGTCAAATTTGAGATCCCCACGTGGGAGAACACGAATGTTGATGTCGCTGACGGCAGCGGCCGACCAGAATCCAGTGCCAGCGGCGACACAATTCGTCCAAAAGGTCGCATACGACGATCAATGACGGCCTGTAATACTTGTCGCAAGCTGAAGACCCGGTGCGATTTAGATCCACGCGGTCATGCTTGCCGCCGCTGTCTCTCCTTGAGGTTCGTACGATAGAAACTCTACATTGAAGGATACGAGATGTTCAAATCCTGAAAAGCTCCCTTGCTTCAATTGGCCGGCTGGAATCGAAATTTTGCTGAACATGTTTTCCTCGCAGGATAGAGTGCAAGCTGCCTGAGACAGCTGAGCGCTTTCAAGATAATGCTTCAATGTGGTCGGATGCAACGGCAGCTATTCCGTCCATTGAAGAGCGCCTCAACTCGCTGGAACGAAGTATGACAGAAATGACCAGCATGATGCGGCAGATGATGGACCGGTCGCCCAGTATATCTGGCAGCTCGGTATCCGTGTTGACAAGGAGTGGTATCACCGACGAGACCGCTTCGATCGAAGGAAGTCAATCGTCTTCCTTCGCTCCTAGACCTATCCGTCTCATTCAGGACCTGCAGTCGGACTTCATGGGAGAAGCAAATGTCCTACCTGCGGATTCGAGGTCACTCGGTGATCCTTTCACCAAGGGAATCATCGACCCTAAATTATCTCAGAAACTAATTCAATTGTATGCCACTCCCTTCTCCTCGTCTGATTTTGATCTGTCTTGAGAAACTCCCCGCTAATTTACTCGTCCCAAAGGTTTGTTGATCATTTTGGGGTCTGGATCTCGATCGACAATCCGTCCGATCTTCATAATGAGTTGAGAGCTGCAGATCCGCTGCTCTATAGTACAGCTTGTCTACTAGCCTCTCGCTATGTCCCCGGTATACCGTCATCCGTAATCCATGCTATGTATCTTCAGATACGGCATGCAGCAGTCAACGTCCTCTGGAACAATCCACCTCTCAAGCACGAGACTCTTCAGGCTCTTACCCTTCTTGCGCTATGGCCAACAGCAGTGCAAAAGGAGACTCCCATTGATAGTTGGTTGCTGAGCGGGATCTCGATCAACCACGCTATCATTTCCTTTGACTTTCTCAACCATGCTCCTGCCGAGCTTATTGTGGACAATGACATGGTTGCGAAACTACGCTTGTGGAATGCTCTATGCCTGACTCAGTTACAGTATGTGTTCATCATGTTCAGGGGTTTGCGCGACATTTGCTAAGAGAGTCTGCTAGGTCTGCCATTGGAAACGCTCGTCCCTTTCACATACAGCAGAGGTACCTCGAGCATTGTCCACGACTTCTTGAGCACCCAGCTGCTACATTTGAAGATGGAAAAATTGTAGCGGAGATCCAGTTATATCTGATCGCGCTAAAGCTGCAGAATTTTAGCCACCGTATGCGGCTGGGAGACTTCGAATACGAGGGAATCGAACGCTGGAAGATGGAGTGGGCACATCTCTTAAGTAAATCACCGGTGATCGTATGTTATAGGAAGTGGACTAACTGATTGAGCAGCTGGTGAGCGACACTCGACACTAGAGCTTAGCCTCATGTATTGCCAGCTACTACTTTATCGAACCGCAATGAGGTTTCATTGGGAGTCCGAACACCTCATCTCAGAAATCCTTCGTAATTCGCGCCTCATCCTCTCAAGATTCCTATTGGTCCGGTTTCCAAACGCACTCGCCTTCCCGGATCAGATATACTACATTGTGGGCTACGCCGCCCTGAATCTCTGCGACTTTAGCCCGATGGATCCGCTTATCGACCAGGTCCGAACCTTCCTTCTCCATTTGTCACCGAACGAAGATCACATTGCCTACCGCTTCTCATATACAATCACAGAGCTCAAGCGGCGGTGCGCAGCAGGTCCTAACCCCAATAGTGCAGTCAAAGGTGCGTTCGGGGATACTCGCAAACTGAGCATGGGGCAGCAGATACCATTCATGAATCCACTCATGGATACCATGATGGGGGAGTATGGTGGCTTGGAGCATCTCTTGCCCGAAGTTCCTCCGCACTCCTTACCCGATATGCTCACCAGTGTAGCCGGTGAGCTGCAAGCGTTTCGTGCAGCGATACTTTGATATGCCAATCGTACATGGAATTCTGTATGCACTAAGACCAATATGAATGCGCCTTGTGCGCGAAACAGCCGTCCGTACAGCGCGGCAGTAATGTATTTAGTTTCTTCTTTTCCCTGGGCGAAGCAGGCTTCACCTCCCGGCGTCGAACTACCTTCAAACAATGTTATTTATCCAACTTTGGCTGTTTTAATTTTGAACCCGCTCCGTCTTTCTGGCGCTAGGTTTCATCAGGTGTAATCATAGGTGTCCCGAGTACTTCATTGCTTGAGCGCATCGATCCTTCGTTTTCAGGAGAAACGACTAAGGGAGGAGACTTTAGGTCGCAATTACCAGTCTAAATCCTCTTTTTCAGAGCAAATTATGGCACGAGCATCTAAATCTTGATCGCAAGGGCGCATCATCCAACAATGAACCCTCGAACCACACTTGGCATTCCTCTCTCTCGAGGTATATTTTATCTTTCCGCGATATATATTTAATTGTGGCAGTACTATATTGATCGGTATAATATAACGCAGCCATGCAATTCATGATATATATATATATAAATTCCAAGACGGAACACACACAATGAATTCAATGCCAGTGAAGTCCTCAGAGAAACCATATCACCCTTTATTTGATGCCCTGCTGCTCAAGTACAAATTGTACTTCCGCTCAGCCCAGCTGTCGGGTAAAACACCCGGGGCAAGCCACTCGCCATGACAACGGGGACCTTCCCACCTGAGTCTACGGTCGCCGTGGCGCAGGAAAAGACCTCAGTCAGTTGTGTTCCCGCCGCATAGCCTGTTCCACTCAGTGAGAGCGTGTAGGAGCTTCCGGAAGCACCGAGGTTCGAGAGGACGGTGACGACCTGCGCTCCGTCGTTGCCTTTCCGCATGGCGACGGTGGAGGTATCTTGGTAGATGGGGTTATTCTGTGAACTGAGTTAGCATGGGCCTGGCCGCGTATGGTGGCTCCGGGAGTGAGTGCCGTGTACCTTATAAGTCACGTACGCCGGGTCCTTGCTAATGGCATGGTTCCGGATGGCGTTTGCTGTCGCGATGAGCTTGTATAGCTCGCTGGTTTTCGAGTAGCCGGATAGCCAGACTGCCTCGCGGTTTGCGGGATCTGCGCCGCCGCTGTAATGTTGCTCCTGACCGGCGTAGATGATTGGGATTCCATCGGAGAGAATGATGAATGCTGCGGCATTTTTGGCGAGAGCCATGTCGTTGGTATACCTGCGAGCAGGGGTTCATCAGAACGCTGGAGTGAGGGAGAGTCTAGGAAGGAACTTACGATGCCAACCGGGGCGTATCGTGATTTTCCACGAACGTGCCCAACAAGGTTGAATCGGCGCACTGCGACTTGACCGTGTCGATCATATTGTAGAGGTCGCTCATACTGCCACTTGTGGACTGGAAAGCTTTCAGAAGCGGATAATATCTGCTCTAGTTAGATGCGCGGCGATGCACAGGTCTATATGCGTATGCCACTCACACAGGGTAATTCAACACCCCGTCCAGGACCTCTTGGTAGGGGCAAGTGTACGCTGGATCTCCATTAAATACCTCCCCGATGCAGTAGACGCCCGCAGCGTCATTGAATCCCGGCCAGAAATCTTTCTGGACGTGCTTCACAGTGTCAATTCGTAGGCCGTCGACTGTAGCATATCAGTTAATTCTTGTCTTGTGCAGGTACTAAGAGTACACTTACTGGAATAATTAGACACTAAAGAGCCCACCCAATTGTACCAAATCTTTTGGACATCCGAGTTTGTAGTATTAAGATCCGGCAAAGGAACAACATTGTCTCCCAACCAGCAATCTTCCACGTTTGTCTGATTATCGTAGTTGCTGATGAAGCACAACGGATGGAAGTAGGTCTGAGAATTGAAAGGTTTGAAGACACTATAGTCGACCGAATTGCCTGCCCCGGCATATCCCTGTTTCCAATCAGCAAGCAGTACACCGGCGGGCTGAACCCAACAAACCATGTGATTAGCAACAACGTCGACCATGAGATACATGCCTCTGTCGTGAAGAGCTGACGCCAGGGCTTTCAGGTCGTCAGCGGTCCCATAGTTGGAATTAACCGAATAACTTTCCGAGTCAGCAGGAATTGATTCCAGTATATGGGGATGACTTGATGCTCACATGTCTTGCTGCCAGTACCCGTGGTATGCAGTGCCTTCCGATGTATCCTGGGGAAGTTGCTCGGTGACTGGGGTTATCCAGATTGCCGTAAAGCCCATGCCTTGTATATAGTCGAGCTATATTGACCTAAATTAGCCATTGTCATACTCTCAAACTCCATAGAGAACGCTTGCTGACTTGTTTAATGATGCCTTGCCAAGTACCACCACAATATTCCTGTTTCACGTGTCAGCGCGCCATAGCTTGCGAAGGGAGGCTCGGTGTAGCTGACTCGAGCACTGGTATCACACGAGGCCGCCGTGGAACCGTCAGTCCGTGCGAATCGATCCGTGAGTAAGAAGTAGATGGATTGGGATCGCCATTGCGCTGGAGTGGCCGCGAAAGCTGTCCCAGCAAGGCAAGAGAGAATCAAGGATGACCAGCGTATAGGCATGCTGACCGTGGTGTACGCTGAGCAAGCCCGCAATCTCTTCTCTTGTCACGACTGGGAAGAGCTAGGTAGGGGACTCATTAGGGTGTTTTTATAACCCTCAGACAAAGATGAAGGAGGATACCGACAGACAGTAGATCACCACCAAATGCGTATTCCACGGTTTCCACCCATCTCGGATCGTCAGCGATCAAGAATACCTCACGGAATAACCTCAGGAGCGGACGAGAGTGCCATTAAGAATTCAAATAAATCCCCTGTGAATGTCCGCCCCTGGTCATCCAGCACGAGGATCTGCCGGTCGGTATTCAGTTTGTGGACTACTGCATCGCCCTTGCAGCTTCGATAGAGGAAGATCAACATCGTCGTTGGAATATAGCAGCTGATTCGACGCCACATATGGAAAATGGACCGATCGCATTTTGTACCGATAGGCTGACGTGGGGAAGATGTGGTGGTGTATCATGTATGCAGGCAAGAAGGGGGCGTCAGGTGGTTGGTCTCCGGCTCTCTTTCAGTCTTGCAGTGTGACCGCTGAGCTTCTCGTCTCATTTTCCATATTTCCCCTCCATCATCATTACTGTGATCCACTCAAGGCAGTTCATTAATAAAAGCATGTGAAAGCTGTGCATGCGAGGCAGTCTTCGTCCGCCCTGATGAAATGAAAGATGAAACATCGCGTCCGAGCGAGATGACGACGAGACAGTTCCTGACGATCGCCATAGGCGTCTTGACCACTGTCAGCGCTCTCTCGGACCCCGCTCAGATTGTGATCCCAGCAATAATAACGCCCCGGACGACGGATCTTTTGGAGTCATGGTTAGCGCAGGAAACCCCATATGCCCTCGATGGTGTGTTCAACAATATCGGACCGAACGGGGCCAAGGCGACCGGCGCTGGCCCTGGCATCGTCATCGCTAGTCCTAGTCAAAGCAATCCGGACTGTGAGTGATTATTTCCTCCTTACAATTGATGATTTCTTCATTTACTGCAACTGTCCAGGCTGACCTGTGGTTGAGACTACTATACCTGGACTCGAGATGCCGCTCTCACTATCAAATACCTCGTTGATTCTTTTGCCGCTGATAACGATCCTGCACTCCAAAGAATCATAGAGGATTATATAGACTCCCAGGCGCGCTTGCAGACCGTCTCTAACCCTTCCGGAAATCTTTCAAGCGGAGGCCTGGGGGAACCCAAGTTGAGGGTGGATACATCGCCATTCCGCGGCTCCTGGGGCCGTCCCCAGAGGGATGGGCCCGCGCTGAGAGCAACAACATTGATATCCTACGCGAACTTGATGATTGTATGTTTTTGTTGACTTTGGTAAAGACTGAGCTTCCTAACTTCGAGCATTTTAATAGGATAATGGTCATTTCTCTACGGTTGAGTCAAGCATCTGGCCAATCATTCAGAATGACCTTTCCTATGTGACGGAGTTTTGGAACTCTTCTACTTTTGGTACGTTTCTCAGATACGGGATGATAATCTACTGACCAGATCCAAAAGATCTTTGGGAGGAAGTTCGCGGCTCCTCATTTTTCACCACGGCAGTCCAGCATCAAGCCCTTCGCCAGGGTGCAGCCCTTGCCCAGAGGCTTGGTAAAACATGTTCGAACTGTCTGTCACAGACACCACAAGTCCTCTGTTTTCTGCAGTCTTACTGGACTGGCTCGTCCCTATTGGCCAATCTGGATAGTGATCGGTCCGGGAAAGATGCCAATTCCATACTAGGCATCATACATACGTTTGACCCCAATGCGGGCTGCGACGAAGAGACGTTCCAACCGTGTTCTGACCGGGCGCTTGCAAGCCACAAAGAAGTTGTAGACTCTTTCCGCTCGCTCTACCCGATCAATGCAGGCATCCCTTGGGGCCAAGCTGTAGCCGTAGGTCGGTACCCTGAGGATGTCTATCAAGGCGGACACCCTTGGTATCTGTGCACCTTGGCAGCAGCTGAGCAGCTATACGATGCACTTTACCAGTGGGAGAGCTTGGGATCTCTCACCGTTACAAACATAAGCCTCGCGTTCTTCCAAGACGTGTACCCATCAGCTACAGTTGGAACCTACGCGCAGGACACCGGCATATTTGCCTCTATAACTGCAGCAGTTAGAGATTACGCAGATGGATTTCTCCGCGTCGTGGTAAAGTCACCCTCTACCCTTTTGCCAGAACCGTGTCAACTACTAACATAACCAACAGCAAAAATACACACCCCCGAATGGCGCCCTCGCCGAACAGTTCTCGCGCTACGACGGCTCTCCCGTCTCAGCGCAAGACCTCACTTGGTCGTACACCTCCTTTCTCACTGCAATCCAGGCGCGAAGACGCGCTCTCAATCCTTCCGCATCGCAAATCAAACCTTTCCCCTCAAACACGACCACCATCCCTCCCCAAATCTGCTCCCCTTCCTCCGCACGAGGACCCTACCG